AAAGCAATGCTGACAAAGCTGGATAAGGGTAAATCGGACTAAGGAGATCCTTAACTGATAAAGACATCACTTCTCATGCTAAGAAGGGTTTACAAAACAGGAGGGACTGGGCTGACGTGCTTGCTGCAATCCAGCAGCAACTTGAAGAGACTTGAGGCTGCTCTAGAAAAAAGCAGCATCCCCAAATATCGCTAGTGTATCCCTGTGTGTCCAGCACCCAGAGCAAATCTCCTGGCAGCGTTACAGTGGTCCCTTCTCCTTAGCCATGTCCAGCTGCCAGCACCCCTCACACAGCTCCCATGTTAGGGGCCTCACGCTGTCCCTAGCTCTCTGCAGGCAACCCCCATCCTGTGTTACTCTCACATCTGGAACAGCTCTCACCCTTGCAGACTCTCCTCTCCACCCTTCCTCACTGCTGCTAGATTTCCCTGAAATAATGTTCCAATTCTACTTCTAATTCTCCTATATTCAATAATGAGTCACACTCCTGTTCAGAGGTCTCTCTCCTGACCTGCCTCTACTTCTCTCTTGTAATGATCTGTATGTGTGGTACTTGCCTGGCTAGACTATGACTGGTGGTGAAACACTGCTGATACTTTTTGGAAGAATGGGGAGGTGCTCAGAGAAACTCGTGGTAAAGATACTTACTAGCAAAAAGGGAGAGATATTGGGAGTCAATGACTTTGAACTTCGCCTCTGGGTCATTCAGTCTCCACTGGAACAGAGAAACACAAAAAAAAAAAAAAAAAAAAAAAAAAAAAAAAAAAAAAAAAAAGTGCTTATGGAGTTAACCAAGTTAACCAAGCCTGAACAAAAGGAACAGGCACAAGATTTTTGTTTTTTCACCAGATGAGCTTCCTTTCTTTCTCCTTACTATGACTGAGTTTACCTAGCAGCAAAAGACTAGGAAGGAGCCAAGATCCCCCAGGATGCATTCAAAGCAGGAAAGGACAAAAAGCTGCAAAAGACAGCAGAGAGGGCAGAACCAGCCCAAACAAGCAGCAGAAAGGGTCCTGACATGTGGCCAGGGCTATTCCACACAGAAGTAAGTAAGGGCTCCAGAAGGGATTAGACACATCTCATGGAAAGAGGAGCTGGGGCCTGAGAAAGGAGTGAAATCATTACAACCATCATTCCTGAGCTCTTTGGGTACGCATATACAGTTCAGCCATTTTCACAGACTCACTGCTACTTCCACATGGTCTGTTCCTCTGTCATCCTGCTTGTGCAGCACCTCAAAATAGTACCTGCCTGCAGCTGACAACCTGTGAAGAACAAGGGTCTGTCACAAAGAGCATTAAGGAACATTTCTCAGCATGTCAGCGAACAATGAATGGAGAGCAACACACCCATGAAACAAGCTAATTCTCAGGGTGAGCAGGGTTAGGACTGCCAAGAAAACCCAGATGCTGACAGTGAGACAGGTAGCTTCCCTTGCGCACCTGGAGCACTGCAGACCCTCCTCAGTTAATTCTGAATAACTCCCTTTCAGTTTTGCCTCTGGGAAACCTGGCCAGTTCCAAGGCAGGAAGCTCAGGATACAATTCATATAGGGGAGTATGGATCTGGTAGTGGCTGCTTCTTCCAGGGGAGAAAAATTCA